TTGTGGCCATATAACGTTGAAACACCGGTTCGAGTACGCTCACCAAAGTTAATTAACGTCGAGCCTGGTCAGTACTTAGATGGCTGACCGCTTGGGAATAACAGGTGCTGTAAGTTTGGAGGTGTGGGTGGTGTAATGGATAATGGCTCGAAATTGGTAATCGGAGATCTGCGTTCTAATTCCTATTCTGTTCGTTATATTCCCTTACGTGCAAATAACTTGGAAAACATATGAATCCGCCCTCCCTCAACCTATCACTAAATTATTATTACCTCAAAAAATAACGAAAAAAATGTTTTCTGGTTTCAAAGGACTGACAAGCCGTAGAATCAAAACAATCAAAATACGGATTAGTTACGCAGAAATATCTTCTATATTTTTCTGGAATATAAATGTATCGGAACTAGTGTTACCACAAAATGAGGGACCGGTTTATATATAGATTGTATTCTAGAACCGAACCCCCACTTTATAACTACATTATAATTTCTTTTTTGTTTAATTAAATTTTTGAAAAATGGGTATTTATTATTTTTTTCCTCCCATGTATTCTTTTATACGAATCTTGAGCCGCCAGATTATATTATTTTTTTTACAGTCTGGACAGATATGGGTATCATATATAAAAATAACGTTTAATCAAATAAAAAATCTGTCACATTAATTTAAATAAATAATCCTTCAATTTCACTTTATATATATATATATATCCCCAATATATATATTTTATATATATTGTATCGTCTATTGTGATGTGTATGTCACCAAAAAAAATGTATCCTTTCCGGTTACATCTTTAATGTATTAGACATCAGACAATATTCATATTTCTCTCACCTAAACCGTCTTTGACTCTCCTCTTTAAAACTTCTCTCTGTTAAATTTTAATCCCCCATCTTCATCTTTAGAGCCTCCTGCTCTTCTGTTCTCTTCTCTAACATTCGTCCCACACTCTCATACATTTACTCTCACTAAATTTTATTTTTTATTCCCGGAGTTGTTTTTCTCTTTTCTTTTTGAATTTGTAGATCTGATGAATTGGATCGTATTTACGATTCCAATGGAATAAATTATGGCCATGGAATATTAGAGTTTAAGCCTTTTTATTATATCCTTACTCTGTGCTGGACATTGAGTTCTACCTGGTTTCTATCCTCTTGGAATTATTTTTTATACAAATATATATGTATGTATGTATATATATTTATATATTTTAGGTTATATGATTACGGTCAAATCTCGCTGAAACACCGGTTCTCGTTCGATCACCGAAGTTAAGCATCGTAGAGCCAGGTCAGTACTTAGATGGGGGACCGCTTGGCAACACCTGGTACTGTAAGCCCACAAAGTCAACCCTTACCTCACAGTCGGTGGGGGGGGTGTAAACGGTAGTGTCAGAGCTATGCCGTCCGGAACTTAATTCCTGGTAGGGCCGCCCAATCTGGACAGGTCTGACTAACACGGGCTGGTGAAAATCCAAGGAGCGTCTGCATCGGTAACCGGCGGCTTCTGGTCGTTCCTGTCTCTGCGTCTGTGGGAATCCCGCGGCAAGCAAGAACATTATTCGAGTAGGCCTGGGTACCCTACTTCTGTAATTTATCCCAAGAATCTTCTTCTCATAACAGGAAGAAGCCAGCTCAATCCGCCCAGGGTGAATGCCGCATCAGTACAGTATATGTATGTGTATATTTACCACTAATATTATATATATATATATATATGTGTGTGTGTGTGTGTGTGTGTAAATCAGTGTGTGTATGTGTCTGTGTGAACTCTCCCATCGTATTCGACGCATGAGGGTAAGCAGTTCAGTTCCTAGGAACCGACAGCCCAGACACCATCACATGATTTGATCATAGTTGGGATGTGCAGAACAAACCACAATTTCAAGGGCCGATTACAAAGACCTAGTGCACTACTTGCCACAAGTTCGACCCTCCGCAGATTTTGAATTGAGAGTTCTCCTTCTCCTAGACCAGTTGCAATTCGAGGCTATAGAACCCATTCTGTCCTGCTATTTACCCATAGCTGATGAGAGAAAATCCTTATTAAAACCTTTCCCAAGTTTATTAGTACGTAAGTGAACGTAATAGATTCGACAAGAATTCGAACTCGACCCTCCGATTCCTCAATGAATCTAGAAGCCGATTCAAGCAAGGATATACAAGTGATAGAAAATATTAGGAGGATTTGAGACAATCATAGTTCCTTGAACCAGCTTCTATTGCTCTGGATAGAGCGGCTTGAAGATAGTAGTCGTGGATCGTGGGAGCACAGTCCTACGGCTAAGTTCCACCACAGAATATGTGATCGAGCGGCGCTATATTGAGTCTAATTCGTTACCACTTCGTTACCGAGGCCCGTTGGTACATTTGGTATGACGTTTGCCTCATATCGTCCGGGTTTCAATGGTAGTGGATGCGCTGATGAGTCTCAGATAGAGGACGAAACGGCCGTCCAGTGCTTTCTGAATTCTGGTGAGGTTTCTTCTAGACTCGATGAATTACTTTATATATATATATATATATATATATATATATATATATATATATATAACCAAGAGTTTTTGTGTGCAGGTCATTTTTTCAGATTTTTGATAACGCTAGATAACACGCTCTCTCCTAGAAACTCTAACTAAGGTTTGCTCATCATAGTTGCAGTATAAACCACATGTTGACTCTGCATGTCTGAGCAAGAGTCTGCAATAGGGATTGACTAGACGGGCATCCTCGAATACCAGCGGCCAGTTATTATATATATATATATATATGTGTGTGTGTATATGTGTGTGTGTGTGTGTGTGTGTGTGTATCAGTCAATCAAATGCAATAAAGGCTTGGGTGATAATGTATGTTCTTTTTTTATTCATGAACGACTAATCAAAATATTTAACCGTAGTAGGTTTCTTTCTACGGTAGGCTGATTGCCAAACAAGGCTCTAGGTCCCAGTCTTTCCTGTTGGCAGTGGGGGGTGGGGGGAGAGAATGATTCATTTATTCCCAAACGCATTCTGAGCCGGTATCCATTACTCTATATTCTTCATTTAGATTCTTCAAATCGAAGTCTGTATAGATTATTCGTTGCACTCTTCATTTAGATTCTACAAACGGAAGTCTGTATATAGAACTATTTTTCTGTATAGAGACTGGTCTGAAAATAAGACTCCCAACATTGTCAGTCACCTAAACTAGAACATAGACCCTGTTATCCGTATGACATCTAGTGCTACCTTAATCACCATTTAAAAATAAACAGCAAACAAAATAATGTTAAGCCGGCAAATCTATACGGAATGATAATGGAAAAAAGCATATTTCAAATAACGTTGCTTTCAGAAAAAAATACGGTTTTTTCAGCACACCCTTGTAAATAATTTCCTTTCAGTAGAGCGGACATCGTTGATCATTGTTTAATAAAAAAAAATGATACGAAAATACAACTAACAAAGCACTATTCTGGGAGAGAACGACACATGCCGACGTTGAGATGAAGAGAGGCGAAACATCATTGAAAAGAAAAAAAAGAATGATAAAAGCAATGTTACGTCAATGGTATGGCGTGCTTCTGTCATCGAAATGTCTGTCAAAATCTCATTGAAGCGCTCTCTGAAGTTCAAATAGTAAAAAAAAACAAGTAGAGTCGTCTCTGATGAAGAAAGAATGAGAAGCATTTGACCGCTACCAACAGAAGTTACTGTCTGTACTATACAAGTAAATGTCATGATTTTTGATCAATGTAGTAATTCGTCCATGTGTTCTTCGAATTATCATCTCTGTTCTCGTTTTGGTTAGTGAAATTTCTGAAGAATTGAAATGGCATATTTTCAGTCCAAAGAATAATTGCGATTGTTATCATACTTTTTTTTTCCAGATATACAGGGTGGTTGAAAAGTAACTCTTCATTTTAAAATACATATAATTTATTTATTAACTATATTCTTTTGAAAAAAAATGTATATGATAAGAAGCGTTTAGCATGAGGTTTTATTTGTGGCTACCGGATTTCGCTACCATCTTCTCAACCCGCCCAGTAATCGTGTCAACTGATTTCACCAGGAAAATTTTGGGGTAAAGAAGACAACTTGTATTCCCTCTTCAAGTTTTTTCAAAGTCTTGGTTTGATATAGTAGATTTGCTCCTTTAACTAACCCGAAAGAAAAAAAATCACAGTGTGATAAGTCAGGACTTCTGGTTGGCCACTCATACTTAAACAGGGAGTTACTTTTTACTCATCTTGTTTAACTTATCGTAGCTGACAGGATACTGTAAATGTTATCGCACTAATGCTCTTAGTAAAAAAAAAAAACATTCAACTATCATCCTTCAGCTGGATGTTAAATACAAGAGCAAACTCTCTTGCTTTGATGAGACAAACAGACTTGGAGAAGAAAAGCTGAATTAATCTTGCCTGAATTTGAGGATACCTGCATCGGTTCAACTTGCCCTAGATATACCACTGTTGTTATAGCTAGAATTAATGAAGAAGACGGAATACAACAAAAGTGTCTGATACTGTAAATGTTATCGCACTAATGCTCTTAGTAAAAAAAATTCAACTATCATCCTTCAATGGATGTTAAATACAAGAGCAAACTCTTGCTTTTGATGAGACAAAAAAAGCATGAATTAATATCATGAATTTGAGGATACCTGATCGGTTCAACTTGTTAGATATACCACTGTTGTTATAGCTAGAATTAATGAAGAAGACGGAATACAACAAAAGTGTCTGATACTGTAAATGTTATCGCACTAATGCTCTTAGTAAAAAAAAGCATTCAACTATCATCCTTCAGCTGGATGTTAAATACAAGAGCAAACTCTCTTGCTTTGATGAGACAAACAGACTTGGGGAAGAAAAGCTGAATTAATCTTGCATGAATTTGAGGATACCTGCATCGGTTCAACTTGCCCTAGATATACCACCGTTGTTATGCTAGAAAGCGGACTTAATGAGGCCTATAAATTGAAGGCTATACCCGTAGCTTTAACATTATTAAATGGAAGTTGACTGACATTAAAAGATTGGAAACCAGGACCAGAAAAATGCTTATCCAGATGACTCTAACAAGCTAAGAGAATTATGGCTTTGAATGAGGTATTTTAATTCTGTA